TATATATATATATATAGGTCTGGCACTTGTTAAGAACACAACTTGATGTGTTATGATTCTACCACAATTCTTCATCAGGTGCAAGTATAAGAGAAAAACGTAAGAAGACTAGTCTGTTTACTGGCCCCAAATTAGCTCTCTATGTCTGGTTGGCAAGTAAAAGTCATGCTTGAAGTTAAAGGGTCAGAAGAGTGCAAAACTTTAACGATCAAGACTGAGATAGGAAGTGATGTGCATGTACGCATATGAATGCGTGCTTGATTGTTGCGTGAAAGAGGAAAAAGTATTACCACTTTTTAATGGATGAGAGCACTTCACTAAGCCAGATGGTGAAGAGAGCCCTTTAAAGGACACTCACATTAGCCCTTATAAACACCCCTGTGTGGTTTAAATTGGCCTCTTGAAACCTTTCGAAACCAAACCTCTTCAGTCTCTGTGGGGGCCGTAAAATCAAGGTTCATATTCCAGGACATTTTCTTCTTTTTAACAAATCTGACCGCAACGTAATAAATCAATTAATTAACTGGTAACAATAAACAAATTGTTAAAAGTACATTAACATACACAAGTTTTACTAATTGACTGAAATCTAAACTGGAATTTGAAGTGATTAAGAACAAAAATGCTACCAGAAAGACCAAATAAAATAAAAAAAAAATTGAGATTATGGATTGCTAATCAACAGGGGCTGAATTCACTAGCTGTGCATAAGTTACAGAGAGTAGTTGAGATGTAAAGGAGCACCAACTTGCAAACTATGAAATATTTTTGCATTGCACCATTATATATTTACAGAAAGCCTCTGACTAAAGGTAACAGTTGAATAGAAAAGCCGATTCAATGAAATGCATCAATAAGCTGAAGTTTTACCTAAAAAAAACAATGCTTAAAATTTGATGATATTTGGAAAAGTTAATTTTAGTAGCTCTTCAACACAAATCTAAACAACACACATCTGTATGCATAAAATAAAATAAATCAAAATAAATACATGTAATTTCTCTTGTCTTTTGTATCAGTATTAATTTATTGCTCCTTATTTATTTTTAAAGTACAGTTTTTAAATGTTACTCACATATAAAAATACAATTGTGTCATTTCATGATTAAGTATACACTGTAAAACCCAAAGAGTTAAGAAACCAATTGCTTTACACCAAAAGAATACTTCTTAATACTAATCTTTAAGTCCACTTAAATACTTTGTGTAGCTGAAACTTAGCTGAATTGCATAAAACCATTAAAATGCTCATGAGATATCATGGTAACACTTTACTTAAAGCCTTTATGTAAAATGCATTAAAAAAGGGTTTTTAAAGGGTATAATGCATTATTATTAGTGCTGTCACATGATTAATCATGATTAATCGCATCCAAAATAAAAGCTTTTGCTTACATAATATATGTGACCCTGGACCACAAAAAAAAAGTCGCTGGGGTATATTTGTAGCAATAGCCAAAAATACATTTTATGGGTCA